CCTCCAAAAGTTATATTTTTCTTCTCCCTGGATGTTCTTGATAAATTTTGACTTTTATATCATGTCCTCACGGAGTCCCGAAAGAGTTTCAATTAAAAACGGAACTTCAGATTTCTCTTCGAATTTTAAAGTCATGCGGCCGCATGGTGTTAAACCATGCGACCGCATGGTTCAAGTGGTCTGCCTCAATAATATCCCTACCTCCTCATGTGCGGCCGCATGGTATAGTTACATGCGGCTGCAAGGTTGTAACTTTACAACCTTACTATTTTGGTCCCTGAACTCCGTTTTCTCTTTTCTTGATCTCTTTTCTTTCTTTCTTTCCTTTGTTCCATTATCAAATATTGACTCCTAATTCATGTTTGGATCAATCAATTTTTTGATCACTTACTCGGCTCATCTTTTGATTAATTGCAATTTAGTCCTTCATCTTTCACTTTTCTTCAATTCAGTCCAATGTCACTTCTTTCTTCCTCTGATCGTCTTGTATCATCCTCAATCTCATACTTGGCATATTTTTATTCTCGTTCTACACTTTATCTCATCTTTCCAATATTTGCACCTTTGGTCCCCAAACTATCGCTTTGTTCCGTTTTGGTCCCTTTTCAGTTCTTTTCTTCTGAATTCCATATTTTCCATAGAAACACCTACATTGCATGAATTTAATGAGATTAAATCACAATTCAACTACTTTATCCATGTTTAAGTCATGTTTGTGAGCTAAATAAGTGTGTAAAAACACACTTATCAAAACTCTTTTAAAAGGACACATGAGACTATGGTTGAAAATAATCGGGATCAAGAACTAAAAGAGAAGATTGAGTTTGAACCAAGATATAGCAAAAGGGAAATGACAAAAAAATCTTATGGTTTTGACTTTATGATTAATATGCTAGAAAGTGAACCTCAAAGTTATCAAAAAATTATGAATTTTTCAGAAGGACCTCAATAGAAAGATGTCATGAAACGTAAAACAGATTCTATTTTGCAAAATTATACATGAGAGCTAGTAAATCTTCTTTTAGGAAGTAAACTACTAGCTGCAAATGTATTTTTAATAGGAAAATGAACGCGGATGGAACTATTGAAAAACGTAATGCCAAATTAGTAATAAAAGGTTACAGACAATCAAAAGACTTTAATTACTTGGACACATATTCTCCAGTAACAAGAATAACATCTATTAAGAAGATACTTGCAATGTTGCTCTACGAAATCTTGAAATACATTAAATGAATGTTAAATTATCTTTTTGAATGGAGATTTAGAGGAAAAATCTATATGGATAATCTGAGGGGTTTTCATCACCAGACAGAAAAATAAAGTTTGTAAATTTGTGAAGTCATTATATAATTTGAAATAAGTATCGAAACAATGGCATGAAAAATTTGATAATGTCATGATGGAGTGTGAATTTAAAATCAACGAATATGACAAATGTATTTACGTCAAAGACACCAAAATGGTTGTCATTTTATATGATTACTGTTGGTGGTAACAATAACATGATTAAATCCACTAAAATATGTTAAATTCGAGATTTGACATGAAAAATATAGATTTTTAAAATTTCAATAATATTAGATTGGCTTGTTATGTGGATAAAATTTTAGAAAAGTTCAACAATGATGATTTTGGCATGGCTAGAACACTGAGAGATACAAATCAACATCTATCTGAAAACAAAAGTAAAAGTGTTTTTCAAGTAGAATACTCAAGAATTATTGAAAGTCTAATATACTTGGCAAGTTGTACACGACTAGATATAGCCTACACAGTTAGTAAACTAAGTAGATACACAAGTAATTCAGGAATTGATCGCTGGAAAGGAACAGTAAGAGTACTAAGATACTTAAGATATACTCATAATTCTGGACTGTACTATATTAGATATCCATTGGTCACTGAATGGTATAGTGATGCTAATTGGATATCTGATATAAAATAGTCAAAGTCTACTAGTGAATTTGTGTTCACATTGGGAGTATAGCTATATCCTGAAAGTCGTCTATATAAATAGTTATAGCCAGATCTATCATGAAATCTAAGTTTATAGCTCTTGATAAATGTGTTAAAGATACTGAGGGGCTATGAACTTCCTAGAGGATATTTTAAGATGGTCAAAACCCATGTCAGCAATTTGCATACATTGTGATAGTCCATCAACAATCGGAAGGTCACAGAGTAACATATACAATGGTAAGTCTAGATATATACATTGTAAACGCAATATCATAAGGTAACTACACTCAGCTGGAGATATTTATGTAAGGTCAAATGATAACATTGCGAATCTACCAACCAAAGAGTTAAATAGAAAGTTAGTTGAAAAATCATCGGAATGAATAGGATTTAAGCCATTGAACGGATAAGTTAATATAAGGGAAACCCAACTTAGTTGACTAAAGATTCCAAAACCTAGGTTCAAATTGGCAATCTAATTGTAAAGACTTAATTGAATAGCTGAGGGAGATGTTACCTCTTATCAATTCCTACGATGCAACAGTGATACCCATAAGGATGAATGATAAATAATAGACTTTTAATGATTCTTGTGCGTTAAAAATCGAACAAAGCAATGCAAGTTACTTGTAATAAAAAATACCTATGTGAGAAAGAAGTTGGGCTGTTTCTAAGATAATTGTCAGGGGCTCAATTCTTAGAAACTCTCGCGGAACCAGGCATATGTTCAAGGCTAAAAATGGACATAACAATGAGAACTAAATTGTGTTAGAAAGAATCCTTTGTGGAGTATATCATCGTTTATATAACCGATAGAACAGTTCAAAAATAGAGGTCTACTGGTCAGTTAATAAAGTAAATATACTTTCACAATGAAATTTTCAAAGGGTAGTATCTACCTATCCCATACAGGTTTCTACCATTGAACTATATCAATAAGTCTTTATGTCTCACATTTCTTTGTTGCACCCAATTTTCATTCATGTGAGGAATTGTTGGAAAAATGGCTTTGTTGAGCTTACTTTTGGTACAATTTTAGATGGGACCCATTGGCATGATTTGAAATATAAAAGTTGATCCATGACCTCCTCCATGAGAATATCGAAATTATATGTTTACTTGTAAAAAATGATAAATAGATAAATGAGAAATTGGAGTTCAAAGTAGACCGTTGGAAGATGGTTTATGTTGGAAGGAAACCTATATTTAAGATTAACCTATATAGGAAATTGTTGAAAGCAAGAACTACTTTGTATATGGTTATACTTTGAAATGGTATAATCATGAGTAGTATAGAGGCTCTTTCCACTTGCGCTCGTAAGGGCGTGCAAATCAAGGATCAAAATTATATATCGAGTCTTGAATTTGTTTGTGGGTGCGACCTATGTGAACGGAGCAAAAATTGGCTCTTTAGAAGTGTCCACGTTTTGCTAATTTTTGCTTTTTCCAACTGACTTTTTGGCTTTCGAAACTGTTGAAACTCCAATAATTATTGTCATTATAGTATTGAATCAATGGATAAATTTACTCATAATTCATGTGGGCCAAGTTTATAACTGAGCTCGTTTTTCCATTACTCAACACTAGAAAAATTAGATACTCTTTCTGCATAATTTCCAGTTCCAGTTATCAGAAAATTTTTATTCTCATCTAAGTCTTGGTGGTGTTGTTCTAGCACATTCATTTCACTGGAGTTGAAATTGAAGTGTTTAGATTCTGTCGGTTAATCTGTTGTATCCTGATAAACAAACATTCAAACTTAAGCTTCTATGTTGAGGGGGCAAATTTGTTTTTAGAAAACTGAGTACACACAAGTGTCGATTTGCAAATTTATAGTATTCTCTTAATATATTTCTACAGTTTTCATTCTCTGTTTATTTTATGTTCTTGCTATAATAAATAAAATTTATATTATTCTATATTCTTATAATAGTGTTTTGCTAAAAATTAATTTCTTTAGTGCATGATACCGAGAAAAAAAAATTCGGTGTATAATTGTGAATTTTGTGGGGGAGTTGTTTAATATTTAGTGCACAAATATGGATTCAAAAGATTTGGTGTTCGTGGGTTTCAACTATTGTTTATTTTCAAACTGCTGCTCATTTCTATCTTTTTGGCAAAATCCTCTTATTTTTTCATCTATTTTAGTTTCATCGCATCGTCTTAGCCTCAACATATATCATGGTTCCTATTTGATCAGTCTTTTTCTCCTTCATCTTTCAGTGAAGTACTTATACAAGTAATGAATTTTTCAGAGAACTACTTTAAAATATGGTCTATAATTGACAAGTCTAGTTGCTAAAATTATTTGAGAATAATATTTGTGGGTATCTCCTTCATGATTTGATGATTGTTTGGTTAGAATAGTGCATGATCTATCATCTTCTTGTTCTTTGTTTGGCTTGGTTGACATGTAAGTAATTTTGAAGTATTCAATTCCTTTGACCCTTGGAATATAGAGATTTGATTGAATCAATTTAATATTTAAACTCAATTTTGTTGCAATAACACCATATTGAGTTTGATAAGGGATGTTGAAGATATAATAAGACTATAAAGATTATTCTCAAAGGTATTTTTTCAATTGTGCAGAATTATTTTCCTTAATAATATTGCGTGATTTTCATACAATCTATAAACGGGGTCTTTTACTTCATAATAGTGACATAAATTTATTAGACTCAATTTTAATATTCTAACAGTGTTAAAGGGGAGTATCTTGTTCATGAATAAATTATGTTCTTGATTCTTAAAGCTTTGATCTTAGATCTTCATGAATTTTGGATTGTTATTGATTCTTCAAACTTTATGGAATTTTTCCTTTGATGCTTCCAACAATCCAATCTTCTTATACTCCCTCTATTCCAATTATATAGGTTGAGTTTCATTTTTCTCTTATCTCAAATATATGTGCATGTCTTCTAAGTAGAATTTTTCGTTTTGGTTCTTTACTAATATACTCTCATTCAATATTTCTCACTTAATATGCCAATTTCTTGAATTCATCCAAATACACACATTTCATACTTCTTGGAAACATGGATCAACGAATCTATCTGAAACCAGTCAATGAATCCGTCGCAGCATTCCGTCTAGGAGTAGCCATAAAAGACTGTTGGTGCTTTGATTTTCTTTGTTGTGCGGAGGGTAAGGAAGGGGAGAGGAGGGGTAATGGGTCGAGTTTGGGGGCGTTGGAAGACCAAATTAAATTATCGAATTTAGTTTTTTATTCATTTTTTATATTTCTTTCTTTAAAATTAAATGAAAAAAGAATCCCCTTTTAACAACTATTAAAATGAGTTTTGAAATAGTAACTTTTTGGAGAATTGGTGATTAGGGTAGAAAAAAGTTTGAATTTACGTGCAAAATATTTTATTGTAATAATATTTAGTTCAAAACGAGTTTTAAAAAATTATTTTAATTATTGTCAAAATAGGGCTCTAAGCGAGTTGACAAATTTGCCTCATAAGTTATTTCACATAGAAAAATGAGATAGCAAGTGATGGAAATGATCAATTGCACGAGAAAAGGTGCAAATATTGAGATTCAAATGATGAGTCTTGATGTCGCAAAATAGGAGAGGAACCATTTGTGTAAATTAGTCTTATCTTTAGGGATGAGAACGGGGTGAGTATGAGACAGATTGGTAATTTTTCTCATCCCTCATCCTATCGGATATTTTTGTTACGTTATCTTGCCTCCATATCCAAATAAAATTTAAAATAGGGTGAGGCATGTTCGAAATGAGATCGGGGTGGGATGAGGCAATACAGGTCTCCTGCCTCTTTATCTCCCCGTTTATTTATATATTTTATTTTTCTATATCTTCAATTAGTGAATATTATTACTTTTTTTTTCCCAATTTGTTAAGAACAACTCATTTTCTCTTTAAAAATGATGATAAATATTTCTTTTTGCTTGATAAAAAAGATTTAATTTGAAATTAATTTTTAATTGTGTGGATAGCGATGTGTAGACCATATTTTCCATCCCCGTCCCGCCCTTGCCCTGTTTACCCGATTAGAAGGTATTCCTCACCCCATTTGGTACGAGGCTTGTGGGTAGTGGGTTTAACAAATTTTTTTGTCATCTCTACTTATCTTCGTCTCGAATGCTTTTGTTGAGTTGTTCATGAAGTTTTTTCCTATGTTATTAACTATCCAGTGGAGCATAACAAAACACATTATATTTCTTAGGGTTGACAACAGAACCGAGCAATTTCCCGCCCAATTACCCATTTAAGAAGAGGCAGGACGATCCTTGCCCCCATTTACGTACTTTTTTTGTGATAATTCATTTTATTGCCACATTCATTAAAGTGATATAATAATATAGTTATTAAGTTTTTTAATTAATTTAGGGCGTAATTCTCTAACTCGAACCCGATCAGAATACCTGATTACACGGGTAATCCCCGCCCTTAACACGGGTTTGATGGATTTTTTTGTCATTCCTAATATTTCTCTTTTTCTTTTGTTGTTCGTTCGTGATGACTTGAATAATATAATGTTTAATTGTTTAAAAAAATTTTAAAATATAATTAATTTAAATTTTCATATCCAAGAAGTACTATCACTTAGAAGAAGTAAAATAAATTCAATTATTTTTCAAATTAGGTCCCGCCACAACCGTGTTCGTATCTACTCTATGAACTTACCTTTGCAGTCTCTTCGCACCAAAACCAAAATTTTGTCATCCCCTCTGCAGCAAATTCACGCCATCAAATGGAATATTCGGCTCAGAGAGCTCTCCAAACCTGGCCAATACCAACAGGCCATCACACTTTACCGCCAAATGCTCCGCTTCGGCGCCACCCCCAATGCCTTCACATTCCCCTTTATTCTCAAGTCATCCGCCGCCCTCTCACTCCCAGTCTCCGGGGCACAGATCCATTGCCACGTAATTAAGTCAGGTTGTCAATCAGAACCTTTTGTACAAACTGCATTGATCACTATGTATTGTAAGTGCTGGTCACCTGACACTGCTTACAAGTTGTTCGATGAAAGTCCCAAGTCGTGGGAATTGACTGTTTGTTACAATGCTTTGATATCTGGGTACGTTCAGGATTCACAGTTCTCAAATGGGTTGCTTTTGTTTCGTGAAATGAGGTCGAGGGGAGTAGCATTTAATGCGGTGACAGTCTTGTGGTTGGTTCCGGGGTGTACTGTTCCAACGCATTTGAAATTGGGGATGTCATTGCATTGCTCGAGTTTAAAGTGTGGGTTGAACAGTGATTTGGCCGTTGCGAATTGCTTTCTGACAATGTACGTGCGTTGTGGGTCGTTTGAATTGGCCAGGAAGTTGTTTGATGAAATTCCTATGAAGGGGTTGATTACTTGGAACGCGATGATTTCCGGGTGCGCACAAAACGGGCTTGGGACAGAGGTTTTGGATCGGATGTTAATCAAGTGCGGTTATGCCCGGGAACCAAATCATGAAAATCAAGAAGTGAGGTAACTGACCTGAGGTTGATGAATTGAAGATTCAATAACACTTCAAAGAAACTATAGGTGGGACAAAAGGGGAATACAGGGTTAGAGCCTGTTTGGGAGTGATTTTGAGAATTGATTTTTTGATCGTTACGAAAAAATTGGGGTTCACCTGTGAGAGAAGAAGTCAAATATGACAGCTGAAATAGTGAAATAACGGTCAAAAAATCAATTTTTTTGGTGAAAAAATCGGGCCCAAACAGGCCCTTAATCTAAAGCCTCAGCAGAGAGATGTCATGTCCCATATTTGAATCTACAACCTCAATATATCCAGCCAAGGCATTTTACTGCACTAGATAAATATCACCAATGAAACGAACAAATAAAGAAGAGAGGCATGATATGGTTAGTAGCTTTCACTCATTGATCCTCCTTCCGTCTATTCTAAAGGTTCTATAGCAAACTTCGGGTCCTAAGTGACCATTGGTTATTATCGAAGGAGCTCGCCTTGGAGCCCAGACAATGAGCAAACTTCATCTCCTAAGCGACAAATGATTAGAATCTAATTTTCTCAATGTGAAAACAAGAACTGTGTCGAAAAGAGAATCAAGACACTCAATTATAAGATGGACACATTTGGCAATTCTACAAAGACTTAATGGAGATATATGAAGGTGTCCAGATGTGACAAGCTACTGCATTTCAAATTTATGGCAACAGAGGTGCCCCCGTTCTGTCTTATCCTGTTATCCAATCAGGGATTTCTTAAATTGGATATCTATCTTGAACTTTCACCTTTTTAAATTCGTTAATTGAATCATCAAAGCAAACAAAGAGCATGAACCATTGTCCTAATGTTACCCAGGTGGAACTATTCAGCACTATAATAATATTTTAGAAATAATCTTCTTGTATAGAATTGTCACCTAGGTTGAAGCATCCATGCTGCTTTGCCAATGCCTTACAACACGAAGCCTTTATTGCTCTTCAACAAACCCGTTTTCATGATTTAGGCTGCTCCCACATTGCATAGTTCAGAAGTCCTTTTAAACATCAAAGCATACCCATTTTTCACCTTGCATGCAAGAAGATAATTAATCTAGATCTTCACCTTATGAAGTTCAATCGGAATTTGTAATGGTACTACTGTAGAAACCATCACTTGGAATGAAGGATCCAAATGAACCTCCTAGTGACATAGTATAGCGAGCGACAACTTTCAAATGATTAGATAAAGTTCACAGCTTGATTCAAAATCACGGGGGAAAGATCCTTAAATATACTTTCACAAGATTAAATCTATGTTCTAGCAGGTTTCCATCTTCACTAAATTAAATACCATGCAGCTACATAAATAGTAATATACACATCGATTAAGTAAAGAAAACAAATGTACAGAACAAAACTCCAGTGCAGCAACATTAATTAGATCAGATCTTTAATGAAATATGATAGCATAAGCCTCCAAGTCGAAGTAGTAAGGCATGTCTACAGGTACTTACACCATCCTTAAAAATAAGTAGACAAAAGTAATCTACACCAAGACAGGCTATATTGCCAAAACAGCTACTGCTGACAGTCGACCATATAACTGTAACAAGCAAATTTCAAACCAACATATAAGTCATAAATATTTGCTAAATGACATTACCGATTTCTGTCTCTTTTAAAGAAAGGTTGATAGATCTTCAGGGGCTTCAATCCATATGCTCTCATATGGATCTTGTTCTCCCCAATCATAGCACTGATTTCGGGGATGATATCTACCACTGTCAAGAGAGTAAGACACACAGCGTTTTCCATAATATCGAACTTTAGAGAAATAAACATTGTTTCTCATCATTCCATTCAGATCCATCCTTGCTTGGGATGACAAGAAACTTGCAAACAACGTCGAGCCTTCTAAAGTTTCCATCTCTGTCCATACTTTATTTGTTTGGTCTAACTTATATACCACTGGGATTAAAGCAGAACAAGTGTATATTGCAAAAATATCACCATTATGCTCAGCGATAAATTTTCCTTTCCACCAATTTTTGACGAAAAAACTCTCAGGGCATCTGGGTGGATGAACGGAAAGAACATCCCAAGTACATTCATTAGGGTTATAAACCCCCAACCAACCAGTAAGACTCAAACAATAAAATAGACCATTGCAGAAAACCAGTTTGTTCCAAATGCTGCTGACAAATGGCAGACGGTTTTGGTAATTAACCGTAGTCCATTCATTTGCTCCAGGATGACAAGTGCTAATGGCAACAAGAGTTGGGCTCACATGCTTTACTGTAAAGAGAATGCAGCTAGGAGACGTTGGAGCGGCAGAAAAAGCAACAATTTGGTATCCAAATTCTCGTCTAGGTAATTTGATCTTTTCCCGTGTATAAGGACAATAGAAGAACATGCGCTGAGTTCTGGGCTTATACAGCAGCAACCAGCCATACTTAGCGTAACAAAGCCTAGAGCCACGTAACTTTGGTAATTCAAGCCAATAAGTTTTTCGCCGAGAAGGGTCGTAGAATTCATACAGGTCACCAACTTTTGGGAAAAACATAAGCCAAGGAGGTTTATTGACCTTTCTGACAGAAATTGCAACAGAGTGCCATCGTCTACAAACAGCGGAAGCACAGATATTATCTCTAAATGTTAAATGAGAAATAATCAGTTCCAAAATCTCTGTTGGAAGCTCAAAATGCGTCTCCTGCTCATCTGGCTGTCCAGCTGAAGCTCTTGTACCGTCCTCGATTGTTTCAGCTAATCTACATTCATGATATCCAAGTAAACTCCAAGCTAAATGAAAAAAATAAAATAAATAGAGATGTTGACTGTTTGAATCAAACAAAATCTCCAATAATATCGACCTCATCCGATGGATATGTTTTCGAAAAATATAATTCCCAGCAAGTAAAAGCAGAATTGAAATAACCCACCAAAAATGCGAGTTTGCACTTGGGATATATTGAATTTGAAGGAAATTTTTTCATCAAGTATTGTAATGACCCGAGCCTAGTGCCAAAGCCATTATATAATACTCATTGTCCACTTTGAAAAAGCTCAACCATCTTACTCATTACGACTTTGCATCACGTGCCCTAAGATTCAAACTCAAGACCTCTATCTTATAAGATACTTAAGTTGAATCATGATATCAATTGTACAACTTATCCAATTGGTACCAAAACCTGTCCAGAGGTGCTTATACTGCACATTTTTTAAAGGTTAGGCTATCTCCTACAATATAAAGATTCAGATACTATCTGTACTATTTTGAAAGTTTTGAGACTTTCCCTACAAATTTCCTCCATTTGGAAAGTAAAAGGATTTCATGAAAAAAAAATTCATTGTTTCGATTAACAAATGGCTTTAAATTCATCAAGCATGACTACACACAATTCAACATCGAAAATGGTGTCATATGAATTTGGTTAAAATTGGACTTTCGTTTCTACTGTAGATTTAGCTGGGGATCCGAAGTCCAATTTGTTGGTAAAATATTCTTCAAAGCTGGCCAAGTTAAGAGAGCATCAAGTGTAAGGGGAAACATAATCAACGGACCAATGTGATCAAACTTTCCTTTTGTGCATACAGTCTGTCCTAAATGAATTCGATGCCAAAGATGCCCAAAGATATTCACAATTCGAAAATGGCAAGGAATTTGGCAGAATAATTACTTCAGGCTGCCGAAACTTTGGAGCAAATTTAGGTCAAGCTTTTACCATATGGTCATCATAAATTTATGCGATCCCTTCTCTTCTTGGGTACGAGACTAAGGATTTTTTAGAGAAAATTTACGAGCTTAGGACCCAAGTTTTTCTTATGCTCTTTGTAGTTTGCATAAATAGTAGAATTGTTTGGTATGGTGAAGCTTAGTAATGTTTTTTCCTACAATACTGCAAGACTGAAGTTCCCAGAGGGTACAGTTTCATAAGGTTTTAAAAGTTTGACTCTGTGCATCCAACAAAAGCCCAATTCAAGTGCATAGATTTCCGTTTCACCATTTTAACTAGTTAATTTTCTTCTTCGCAATTCCAGTGTGATCACATTTTAGAGCAGCTAAAAATCTACAATGGAATTAATGAATTTTACCCCCAAAACAATTCAACATAACAGTCTAAGACACCAACACGAAGCCTCATAAATACTCCAATTTACTCTAAACAAAAATTTATCCAATATCATCCTCTTTAGGCACTCAAATTAAATTCATATACAACATGACCTGGTACTTTTTGAAGGGAAAAACATTAATTTAATTAAACAAAATTTCAGTTCAAAATTTCAATCTTTTGTTATTCTGTAGAACATAATTTTCAGTTTGTAAGGAAAATTAATAACATAGGAAAAATTCAGTCAAAAACTACAGAATTGAATTGTTGGAGAAAAATATAAAGAGACTTACAATTTAAATTTCTTTCTTCTCCTTCCAGCCATAATCAAGAGAGCCCAGATTATGTTTTAGGGGAAAAACTCAATTTTTTCACTACGTGTGTGCGTCGGTGTGTGGATGTGTGTACCTGAACCGTTTTAAGGGTTTGATGAATTCTATGATGAAAAGATCTTTTTCCTCTCTAAAAAAGGCACCTACAAGTAATTGCCACTGTATCTGACGGCTATGCGTTTTACTTCTTCAATTTTTCAATTTAAATAATTACAGAAACGTGCCATTAAATTATTTGAAGATTTTAAGTTTGCAAATAGTTCACCGACTAAAAATTTGGATTTTTCCCTTTGTGCATGAAAACTTATAGAATTCGTAAAGAATTTTGAAAGAATTTTGAAATGAAAAAATTATGTTCGTTTGTATTTTATGTTTTGGTTTAAACTGTTTGTACAAAAGCAATTTTACAGAACTGCTACAGAATGTAGGTGTGGCATACTTTTCTTTCATCTATTTTTTTTTTTGGTCAGATTGCTGACACTTGACTTTTGGTGCAATTCTGATAAGCATTTTTCTGTACGTGTAGAATTGTTCTTATATTTTTTCTCATCTTTGAACTATGTTTTGACACTTGTGTATGTAAAAAATTTTATGTGCAAAAACCCTGTATTTGTAGCATAAAAATTTTAAATATTGCTCGAGATCAAGAGGTGATACTAACTTCAAAAATTTATATTTGTGACCTATAAGATAGATTATCACTTCTGCGATTATGCTGCTAATTCGATAAAGTTAAAATGACTATTTTATTACCTATACCCATGTAAAGAATATAGGAAACAAATTGGATATTGTGCCCAATAAAATTTGTGATGTGTCAATATAAAAAGGATGATGTTACGCGTACATTAGAGTATTCATAACGTTGTTCGCCCTCGTCACATAGAGGGGGCTCACTTTCAATAAAATATAGTTTATGCGAAGTGGATCTCCCACTTTGAGAGGGAGATAAACACTGTTATAAACACCGCATTATGTACAAGTATCCTATTCCAAGTAAAAAATATCCATAAATGGCAACTTGACTCAATAAAAAGAAAGATTAGACGTACAACTCATACTTTTTCAGGTATTATATTTTTGTACACTTTTCTTCAATCATGCTAATTCTGACACCAGAAAGAACTCAGATGAGATTTCCAACCCAATTTAAGGTTACTACCCATTTGGAATATAGTCTCTGGCAATCTTGGAAGCTTCGAATCAAATGCAATCAAGCTGTCAAGAATTTCATTGGAGTTGCTCATGCTTATTTCAACTTGTCTAATCTTGAAAGGGGTGACTGGCGTGCTTTGTCCAAGTTTGGAAGTAGTTTATAATCATTTTAATTTATAAATAAGTAAAAATGACTAGTGAATAAGTAAGTAGTACTTGTAATGTCACGAAAATATAGGCCAAACGTAGATATCGATCTTAATATTTAGTACTTGTAATGTCACGAAAATATAGGCCAAACGTAGATATCGATCTTAACATTTATGCTTTTTATGCTACCAAAATTCACACCTCGGCTGAGGGCAGGTAGGGCAAGAGACCGAGCTAGGGATCCAGACTTAAAATGATCACGAACTGCGCTCCCTAGTATCTAAAACAAAGGTTAAGAGGTGGGAAAGTATGCAAAAAGCTTTAAGCAGAGAGTAAGTAATGATTGAGTGATGTTTATTATGATTACGTGGTCTATATTATTGCCCGGCCCAAGTATCTAGGAACCCGTGTCCTTTGAGGACTTTGGGCTAGGGCAATTTCTCGATTGGAGAAGGATTGATCTTCTTTAAATGAAGATAAGGCAAGTAGAAGTATATGAGGAGTAGAAGATCACTACTGACTGACTACATCTTGATTGACTAGATGGTTAAGTACCGATCTTAAGAGGTGGAAGCATGCAGTCCTCGAAATAAGAAAGTCGGCTAGAGAGTTCATCTTTGGTCACCTCATAGGTCAAAAATGGAATATGATGAGGAGAATGGAATACCAACATTTGGATACAAAGGTAGGTGTTGACCTCTAAATAATGATCAACAAATTTCTTTTACCTAATCGGGATTTCCCCTTCTAAACTCACTATTCTGCTGTTCAATAAGGAGCAAGAGGATAAATTACTATTTGGTAGGAAGCCATTTAAATTCAGCATCTTTCTTCATTCCTGGCATGCATATTTATAGATTTCTATTCAGGCCTTGAGGGTAAATGTGTCTTTTTAGTTGATGAAATGTGATAGTTATTAATTGACTGGCTACTAATTGATTATGTTATTTGTTCACCTTTTATTCACCAACTTAATCCTTACATTTTTGTTATATTATATTGTCTCGCATCACTCATTTAAGGACGTTCATGATGTTTCTCGCTTTTGAATGCTTTTAGCTTATTTTGAGTTCACGTGTGTTTTTGACTCTTTTAACGTGTTCCTTAAAATAAGAAAAGTCTGCCAGAGAATTCATTCGCAGTCACCTCATAGATCAAGAACGGACTATGATAAAAAGAATGGAATACCAACCTCGGGATACAAGGTAGGGTGGAAGTATCCCCTCGTTATTACATCAAGAAAATTCCTTGTGCTAGAAGATGAATGTGATCTCGAGCTTAACATCCTCAGATTGGATCTGGGTAAAAATCTATGGTGTGATCATTTGTGTTTTTAATAAATATTTGGTCAGTCAGTTATCATGCAAGAAAAGAAAAAGAATTAATTTACTTTTAACCATGAAAGAATTGTTTAATTGGACCATGCTACATTCACCTAATGATTTACACAATCTTTTACACACACAACACGTCACGGCTCCCTATTAGAGGGGCGGCTGGTGGGCCAGCCTCCCCTCAAATAGGGGGCCGCCACGTGTTGTGTGTGTAAAAGATTGTGTAAATATTTGTGTACAAATAGTTTAATCCTTGTTTAATAATACTATATACACACTAAAATTTTCTTGAAATTTTACATTTATTTTTTCAGAACCACTCGACAAGTTCAATATTAATTACCAAACCAAAACAAAACAAGGGCTTGCTTGGTAAAGCTAATTTTGCTTTAAATTTTTGATTAAACTGATAAAATTTTATTTTTAAATACACATTATATTTTATCTACAATTCATCCACTTTTTTATCATATATTTCATGAAACTTGTCAATTTTTTGTCAACTTTATTTGCTAAAAACCTACGTCAAACGATCACTAAATAATTAACATGAATATACTTATTTGTCGATTTCAACTAATTAATTGTCAATCTCAGCTAACACGATAGCGTAAAAGATGAGGAGATAGAGAGTGTTGACTCGTCGCTTTGAAATGTGGTTAATTTCAATAAGATTAATTTAATATTTTGACTTATAAAGTTATCATTGAAAAATGATTATTTTGATTATTTTATGTCTTTTTCACGATTTTATCTTTTTGACTGGTGTAATCAAGTTGTTAAAATAAATTTAGTTCTTGTTTGGTTCGACTAAATATTTTTATCGAAAATTAAATTTAAACAATTAATTTTAATCATAGATTTTAGGGACATACACCTTTTCAATTATATATTTCATCAATTTTTATTAAAATTAATTTCTAATGAGCTTAATATTGTTAGGCTAAGTCAACTAAACCTCAAATTATTTAAAGAAATTAATAGTCTATTAGTTAACTATAAGAGGGTTGAATAGAATTAGGTACATCTTTTTATTAATTTCTTTTACTTTTTCGTGGTTGACCACAAAATGAGTGTGGAAATGCGGCCCACTGGAAAGTGGTGGAATTTGGCGGGCATAAGTATAATTCTAGAAGGCTTTAATTAATCGTACTGCAAAGTTAGGTGTTGTTCTAGAAGGCAGCCAAGCAAAAATCATGAACACAATTTAAATATAATAAATGTTTGATTCTGATTTTTCATCTCAAAAATTCAATTTTTTTATAATTACTTACCTAAATTAACTGTCATTTTTTACTTATTTTCTTACAGATGGAATTAACTTTTATCTCTAACGGTCAAAAAATCATTTTTTTCAAACTATTTTCACAGGTGGAACCCTCAAATAATTGTTTCAAACTCATTTTTAATTATATATTCTCTAACTAAAATAATTTTCAACAAAATTAAAAACTTTTTCCTACAAAAAAGACCACACATTTTCAAAAAAAGTCGATATTACAAAATATATTTTCTAAAAAAATGAGATCAAACAAGCCCTCAATAATTTTTCATTATAATTTTAATTTATTACGAAAGAGATCAAGAATTATAATTATTTTTTCTCTCTCTTCTTATTAAACACACGTTTTTCAATAAAATAATATTATACGTAATCTCAAAAAAATTTCTTCCTTTCTAACCACACATTTTTAAAAAAATAAAATACTATTTCAACCATTGAAATATCAAATAATTGAGGTCAAACGAGAACTAATACTCTTGTCAAGTATCTCGATTGAAATCTTCTTAAATGATTTGTTTTAAAATAAATAGTATTATTAATTTGTTGAATAGGTCTTTAATTATCAAACGCCTTGTGACATAAGCAAGAGAAAGCATGCTACTCAAATGGGTTCAATGATAGGGTAAAAAAGGGACGATGCGTGATGCAACATCATTGGACAGTTTGAAAAGAAATTACCCACACAAGTACTGACAACTCAACACCTGTCAAAGCACCTATTTGTAGATCCTGTTTTAGTAGCATTATTGTAAGCAAGACTGTGTTGTCTTTTCTAAAGTTTCCCTTTTCAAGTATTAGTAAAATAGTCAATTTGGCTCAATATTGTTTAAGTAAAATTTATACTGATTAACAATAATCAATATAGAGATAAATGGAATTCAGGACTATCAGAGTCTAAAAATTTTGAATGAGTTGTTCAATTCGTTTAAAACTCAAAAGAGCCATCGAATCCAGGATTAGTTTTTTGGAATGATCTACCATCTTGCAACTGAGGTGCATGTGAAAGCTAAAATACTATGGGCCTGTTTGATTGGCGGAAATTCCTTGAAAAATGTTACATCCGAGAAATTCGTTTTTTACTTTAATTGTTTGATACGAAAGTAGAAATGTAGTTCGAATTCTAAGGTACAAACACTTAAAACGTGTTTTTGGCCAATTGAGTGGAAAATGCTTTCCTACGGTTTTGGTGTCATTTTCTTTCCTACTTATATGGAATTGATTTGTCTTTTTTCCACTTTTGCATTCAAACGG